GTTTATATATCACGAATAAAAATATCTGGCTGTTCAATTTTAATATAAATACCTTATATATCAATCGTAGTTCTATTGATTTCCATATACATTCTCAGCCTAACAACTCTTATTACGATCTTTGTGTTTCTAATACGGCAAAGAAAATTAAACTCAGGAGCGCGAGATATTTTTGTAAAGGACAGTAGGGGGAATGGTCCTTAGCTCTAAATTGACGGGCAACTTCTGGAAATGACGGGACGGGACGACACAACATCGTCCGTCCTCGTCCTTCATTCTCACCTGTGGGGCAGATTGACAAAAAGACCGGACGGGACGACGAAATGTCGTCCGTCCTCGTCCTAGTCCAGGACGGACGGACTGCCCCGTTGCGAACACTGATCAGGGCGGATGGTGTCCGCTTGGTAGATCATTATGCAAGCATTGCACCTCCTCTAACCTGCTGGTTTCCCTGCTAATATGCCCCTTGTGAACGTAGACCATGCTACCCTACCCTAACCAGCCCTTTCTCTGGCCATATGTCTCCTTTGATGAGATATATGGGGTGTTTGTCCTCGCGATGTTGGTCCGAATGAAGTTGTTGTGTTAGACCTCTCAATACTCGCTGATGGGTTAAGGTTTTGGATACGTTAGGAGGGCAACATCCCCGCTTAGATCCATTGGGCTTCAAATAGGCCTCGGGGAGTGCTGTTTGTTATAGATTGATCTGTTGATGTGTTCGCTCCCGCACTACACGGGTTCACTTATCAAGCGATGGCCCATGATCTTCCGCCTATAAACGATGGGGGGAAAGTAACTTATGTTGTTAAGGTTACCACTTCTGGTGGTGCTGACAAGGGAAAAGAGACGGTGATTGGGAATGAAAATGGGATGTGGGTGTCTAATCGGCACAAGCATATAAAATACACCATTGAAAGTTGATGGAAGACTTTCAAAAATTCCTAGGGGACAACAGGAACTTTGTTGATAGGTTTGTGCGCCAGTGTACTATTTTGGTGCGAGTACTGATCTATGAAGTTTGTACGCAAGAGTCTACCTCAACACCAAGGACAAAAGGACATGTACTCGCTTCATCTTGCCATGGCCCAGGAATGCGCAGGTATTTTCGAGAAGAAAAACCTCCCAGATATGGCGCTTCTGGAACAGGCGTTGAGGACTGATTTTGATGAAAATCGGAGCTCAACAAAAGATATTTCGGAGTCTTTTGTGCGCGATGGTCCGGCTTTGGTGTGAGTCTCCTAACAATTTGTCCTATATTGACTGTACTAATATTCCGTGTCCCTCCGGATGGACTTCGCTTGATGATCCTTTACCTTCTTCAGCGTATTATCGCTTTCATAGGTGGAGGTGCTATGTATGCGTGTTACGATATTTCTAAAGCATCTATTTGGGATGTGATTTTAGGATCTTCACAAATGCTTAAGTTACTCCGAAGTTGTGGCTAGAGCAGTTGCAAAAATCGGGAGAGCCGAATAGAGTTCTAGCCTTGATAGCTGATATGTCGCCCAAGGAAGTGCTAAGACATCTATTGGAACCCGACCTAATTTTAAAGCCTCTAGCACCGCCCCCACAGTGGATTAAGCCTGCGGCGCCGAACTCAAGTCTCGTCTTCAAACAAACCGTCAACCCCACATCATACCCAACCACCAATTACTCAATTTGAGCTCTCACTATTCCTCTCAACTTATCCCTAGCAATTTGCTATTTGGTCGACCGATTATGTCTACCAAAATATTTGATCAAGTTTTGAAAGAGGTCAGGACCGGCAGTTCTGACTTGTTGCTCTTTCCTGACGTTGATCCCGAAGACTTCGCAAATTCCCCGGAAATATTACTGGCTCATTCCAATCGCCTTGACAAATATTCCTTCCGGCAACCTATTTATTTCACAGTTTGCCTGAATTCTTGATGACTTGCTAATACTCGCAGGATCCACTGGTTTTCCCCTGAAAACAGATTGAAGCTTGCCATGCCTTCGATGCTTCACGCCTACACTGCAAAAATGGGCAAAAGGTCCCGCTCGAAAGCCGGCCCTTCGAAATCCACTTCCCTACTCCTCGCAGGGCCCGCATGTTCAGAAAGAACAAATACTAGAGCACCCGCTCCAAAGAAAGATACCGAAGAGGAGTTTCTTGGAAAATTAATCTTTGATGACGCAGGAGGTTTTGAAGCCGGGTTGAATGAACTTGGCGGTGGATATTCCGACAACAGCGATGGAGGAGGAGGAGGAGGAGGAGGAGGGATTACGCTTGCCGGGGATGGGGATTCAGATGCGGGAGCAGACTTACAAGCGCTACAAGATGATGAGTTATTCTTTGTTGACGAGGGGCCGTCCAGTACCGACGGAACCCCCACTAGGGATATTCCGGGCGTCGGTTGTGACTCTTCGGAAGGAGAAGAAGACGGGGAGGAGGAGTGTCTTCCGGCATGGCAAAAATCCGACGACGAAATCCTTACCATCTCACTTGCTAATCGGGGCTTGCTGCGTAAGCTTCGGGACACCGGGACTGAAGACCTCATCAGTGGGAAGGAGTATTGACAGTTTGAGAAGATTTATCCGGTGCTCGAGTGGGCTGCCGGTGGCTTGGACAGGAAGAGGGTAAGTCTGGACGGTGCGGAGGGTGCGGGGAGTAGTAGTGATGAAGAGATGGGCAGGGTGGAAGAGGAAGGTGGGGATAGGGAAGCGGTGAGGTCTGCGCCCAGTCTCGGGGAGATCCTAAGGTGTACTACGAACTGGACACGCAAGGTTCCAGGGAGGCTGCGGCCGGAGAAGTTAGCGATAGTGAGGTTGGCAGATGGGAATAGGATCGGTGGTAGTTTGGTATATATGCATCCAATTCTCCTCCTTTCCCCCTTTAGGCATCCAGCATAATTTTAACAAATTACCAGTCAATGATATCAACCCTCAACTTCCACCCCCACCACCCCCGCCACCCCCTCCTCCTCTCCTCAGGCCCGGACTCAACCCTCCGCCTCTACCACATAAATGGTACCACAAACCCCCCCGCCACATCCCTGCACCTGCGCAACACCCCCATCTATTTCCCAGCACGAGGTACTGCAAACATTATGGCATCCCTGATAAGTGGTATTGCACTATGGATACGATGGGTGCTCCTGGTATGTTTCCAACTCCTTTAGGATTCAGTATTAAAGGCAGGAACCCAGCTAATTCTTTTCCCCAGAATATAGCAATTTCGTCGGTGCATATAAAGGCTCAATAAAAAGGCCAACCTTTGCCTTCCAACCTCGCAGAGATCCAAGTTTGGGCGGGTTTCATGAGTTCCCCACTGTTGTTGAATCAGGCATCAATGAGCCGCACGCTGAGCTTCAAGCGAATGCCGGACTCTGGCAAGAGGGTACAGCAGGAGCCGTGCGAGTGGTACTACAAGCCCAATTTTCCAGACATACCAAGGAGAACCCGACCCGGTTCTAAACCTCTAGCACCTCCCCCATAGCAGGTTAAGCCTGCGGCGCCGAAACCTTCCCCAAGCTCTACCCCACCAATTAAGGAAATGGATTGGCTGAAGGTTCATCATCACCGGCCTTGCAGGTATTACGAAGAGGACAAGAAAAGAAGCCCGGCGTATTTTGAGTTGTTTGGTAGGCTTACCCTGTACCTAGCAATAGAAAGACTAGCCCTATTAGTTGTTTTCTTTTTTTACGAGTACAAATGGCATGGAGTGCTCGCTTCATCTTACCATGGCCCAGGGATGCACAGGTATTTTCGAGAAGGAAAATCTCCCAGATGTGCCGCTTCTAGAACAGGCGTGGGTGACTGGTTTTGGTGAAAATCGGCGCCCAACAAAAGATCCTGCGGAGTCTTTAGTGCGACTTCTCGATGATCTGGCTTTAGCGCGAGTCTCCTAACAATGTGTCCTATATTCACTGTACTAATATGCCATAGGTCTCCGGGCGGACTTCGTCTGATAATCCTTTACCTTCTTTGGAAAGACGGATTGCTTGAAGGTGGTATTTAGAGCCTGATAAGGAGGGTTCTGATTTCTCCCGGTTTGTGACAGCACCCGAGACTGTGTCCGAGGATCACACCAAAGGGACTCTTGACCCTGCTGTTTTCCCTTATACCAAGTCAGAACTACTAATAGGGCCAGCAGGCTCAATGGAGGGCCAGGCGATTATCTCTCAAGCCTGCCTGCGCCCCACTGAGTCGACCTAGGCTAAATCCGGGATATCTGCGATCCTGCCTCGCCACCGTATTATCATCCCAACAGCCGGAGGTGCCACGCATCCTGAAGCCCGCCCGTGTTACGAGGTTTCTAAAGCATCTATTTGGGATGTGATTTTAGGATCTTCACACATGCTTAAGTTACTCCGATATAGTGGCTGGAACGGTTGCAAAAGTCGAGAGCCGAGGAGTGCTCCAGCCATGCTAGCAGATATGACGCCCAAGGAAGTGTCGAGATATCTGTTGGAACAAAATGCGACTTCTTCTATCTGTTTCTCGTTTCGGTCCGGACGGACACCCGATGCTACATGACTATTACGCAAGTTTTTTCCTTACACTACATACCCCTATACCTGTACTAATATTTGTTATGTGCACATAGGACATCTTTCCAACCCCCCCCCCACCCCCAACAAGACCCGTATGTCACTCTGGACGAATTGTATGGAGGAAATTGTCCCCTTGGCATTGAACCGAAAGCTGCTGTTCAGTTCAAACTTACGTTCCTTCGTGAAGTAGCAGACCGCTGGATCCACCAGGGCGGTCATCTCCCTGCCTAAATTGCTTTAGAAGCAACAGCCCTGGCCTGGGTTCTGACCTATTTGCTTGCTTTTCTGGAATTTATTTCTATAGCGTTCACCACTGGGGGGCGTCACACGGGAGGGGGATGGTTATGGTGATGATGGCACGGATGCTGGCGTTACTGCCTACTCGGCTGGGTCGGGTGGTCGGGATAATAATAAGAGTGGCAAGGAGGGCGAGGTGAAGAAGCGGAAAATGAAACGGAAATTACAACTACGAGGTCCGAAGGTGTTGACGAAGAATACACTTTTGAGGGAGGCTCAGGAGCGCGAGATTTTGCGGCGGGAGTTTTTGGTTTTGCCAAAGAAGATTAAGAATGAGGAGATTAGGGTTCTGTTTGTTTTTTATGATAGGTGTTGTACATGCTCCAATTTTTGAAGTTGACATAAAGCTAACACCCACTAGGCATGAATGTTGCTCTGCCCACCGGAGAGGGAGTGATGGTTAAGAAAGGCGAGGCTGTATGGTTCTTTTTCGAACGTGCTTGGAGAATGTCTGGACCCCGGGAGTCGCTCTGGATATCGGTCGATGATTTAGTATTTACTGCCCGTCCGATGGTATGTGACAATATCCTACGTATTTCTTTTAAACCTTTTCCTTGCCGTTCATGGTCACTCACTCGCTCAGCAGCACTTTGAATTCTGCTACTTTATCGTCAATCACACCCTGGGGCCCAACGGATTATTATTTCATTTTCCTTCATCCCCAACGCCCACCCCCCAGACCCGCACTCCGAATCCCAATAGAGACAACCCTACGGTGACTAATATGGTGGATCGCCGCTGGTACGAAAATAAGCACATATTCCCCGCGAGCGTGTGGACAGAATTTGACCCACATAGAGGTTACTGGAACATGGTAAGGCGGGATATGGGTGGGAATACTTTTTCCGGTTAAACCAGCTCCCTCTCAGTGGTCAACTCTGGCTGCTCCCTGGTTAGGGATGGGTGAATCTACTATCAGAAGGCTCTCTTGAAAACTACGGTATGATAGTATGATACTGTATATGATGTTTACTTCTTTTTTCTTACTTTTCCCTTATATCTTATCATAAACTACAGGACCCGGTTCAATTGTTGACCCCGATGTGGAACCATTCGTATGCTAGTTGCAAGGAAGAAATTCAATGAAACTAATAATTGGATGCGTCATCCTATTCCAAGTGCGAGTTGGTGTCGATGTTAACCACGGTGCTAAATATGCTCGAAGGATGAACTTTTGAATTTGCAGAACAGAATCCATTCTTTTCTTCACATCGGAATTACCCATTGCTCTCACCGTCGCCACAATTCCTTCATTGTCTGACAGAAATACCAGGGCAGGATGGACGGCTTCATCCGCGGGTTTAACGATGCCGTGCCAAGACTGACAGCTGCGCCGTTGGGACTACCAGCAGGTAATCAGCTCCCAAATAAACAATCATCCTGCTCAAGTCGCCAAATCAGAGTTTCGTCTCCCCCCCGGTGCTAATGCACCAAGAATGGCGAAACTCTGATCTAAGAACTTGAGCGCTTGTGCTCGGGGGTGTCAGTAAAAATCGGAAGATATCCTTCTTGTCCTGACAGAATATGCACTTGTACGGAATAAGTGGAGATGGTCTTCCGGCTCTTTACTGAACTCCCAAGTACAATCTATGGTTTTCCCCATGAATATGGTTGAACGCTAACGTATGCCGCGCCAAACAGCCCCTTATTTATTGCTTTTGTTCATTGTACAGAGGTTTTAAGTAGGAAAATAGGTCAGAAACCCGACCAGGGCTGTTGCTTCTAAAGCAGTTTAGGCAGGGAGATGACCCCCTTCGCGGATCCAGTGGTCTGCTACTTCACGAAGGAACGTAAGCTTGAACGGAACGGCAGCTTTCGGTTCAATGCCAAGGGGACAATTTCCTCCATACAATTCGTCCAGAGTGACATACGGGTCTTGTTGGGGGTGGGGGGGGGGTTGGAAAGATGTCCTATGTGCACATAACAAATATTAGTACAGGTATAGGGGTATGTAGTGTAAGGAAAAAACTTGCGTAATAGTCATGTAGCATCGGGTGTCCGTCCGGACCGAAACGAGAAACAGATAGGAGAAGTCTCATTTTGTTCTCCTTAGTAGGTGCAGAAAATTGGGCTTGCAGTACAACTCGCACAGCTCCTGCTGTACCCTCTTGCCAGAGTCTGGCATTCGCTTGAAGCTCAGCGTACGGCTCATCGGCACCGGATTCCACAACAACAGTGGGGAACTCAGGAAACCCGCCCAAACATGGACATCCACGAGGTTGAAACGCAAAGGTTGGCGTTTTCATTGAGCCTTTATATGCACCGACGAAATTGCTATAGTCTGCCAGTGGGGAATAGGATTAGCTAGGTTCCAGCCTTTAAAACTGAATCCTGAAGGAGTCGGCAACATACCGGGACAACCCATCGGCGACATAGTGGAATACCAGGCACTGGAAATAAGATGATCGCGTGTGGCTTCCATGATGTTTCCAATAACCCATGATGAAACACATGCGTGAAGCATCGAAGACATTACAAGCTTCAATTTGTTTTCACGGGAAAATCAGTGGATCCTGTGAGCATTAGCAAGTTATCAATATTTCAGGCCAACTGTGAAATAATTAAATTACCGAAAGGAATATTTCTCACGGCGATCGGAATGAGCGCGTAAGCTTTCCAGGGAATATGCGAAGTCTTCCGGATCAAGGTCGGGAAAGAGCAACACGTCGGGATTGCCGGTCCTCGCCGCTTTCAAAACTTGATCAAATAATTGGTCGGACATGATCAGGAGACCAAATAGCAAGTTACTAGGGATAAGTTGAGAGAAAGAGAGAGAGCTCAAATTGAGTAATTGGTGGTTGGATATGGTGTGGGGTTGACGGTTTGTTTGAAGACGAGACTTAATTACGGGTGACAAAATAGGCCGCGGTGTGCCTAGCCTGACAGCATCAGTACAACCATCTGGCCACATCACCTAGACTACCTCCCATTACTGGTCGCTGCTTCCACTAGCTAGTTCTAGAAGGGCCATAGCAACTTCGATGTCACTCTATCCGCCAAAGGTTTCCGATCCGATCACAGTAGACTACCGTACAGTACACCATTCGGTCTCGCTAGAACAATTATCTGAAAATTCACATGAAGCCCTGAATCACCAACTCTATCGGCCCTGTTCGAGCCATCCACTCCACTCCACTCCACTCCATCAATACAGCCATAAGATTAAATAATTATACGAAAAAAAACCTCTCCAGTATGTATGCAATGCGATAGTAGCTACCACTCCTCTCCATTCCCTATAGCTTCACTCGACCCCCTTTCCACAGCCCCCCAGCTCCCACGTTTCTCACGCCGCGGGGCAGGAATTAATACGACGGGGAGTGGAGGGCCGACTTCTTTCCTCTGGTTTTTTGTGTGGGAAATTCTTACATTTATGACTTTCCGTAGCACGATCACCAGTCCGCGATCACAAATTATCACTCCGCCGAAACGAAACGAAACGCCCAGGTTTCTGGTGGCAGTCAAAAGAGTGTATGAAAAGTTTTCGCTCCTCTTCTTCTCTCTCTCTCTAAAAACACTCAAAGACACCCTCATCAACTTGCTTACTCAACTCTTTAACTAATTTTAAGATAAAACCAGAGTGGGAACCTTATTTGAACACACTAGCTCTTGTACATTCTTCCCACATAATAATGCGAGGCCATGGTTAATTTTCTGTATTTGTCATAGCCTCATGGCTTACTGGTTCAGGATCCCAATTGTTACTCCAAGATCTCTACCGGCAGTGTTGACAATGGTAGCTATCGGAAGAAAGTTAAGTGACTCCGAGCGCGGCGAAGTATCCACAGAACCATGTTGTTAAGTGTAGCGCATACCAACCCTTGGCGCTAACCTATAATGGATGACAGAGTGTTGGACTCTTGGGTGGAGAGTGGCATACATTTAATCAGAGAGACTCTGAAAGAGGATTATACTCATATTCTAGCTCATGACTCTCGCTCAGTTGGGGTATTGGCGGTTCCGGTAGTGAAGCCTGAATTCTGAAATACTTCTCAATTGCAATCTACCTTCGCTGGTGTCAGCTTGTACCTGCAATATTTCCTTTGCTCCGACATCTCTTAGCCAAGAGGGCAATCCCATACTCATCATGGGCGGTGGTGGGAAGAGGATAGGTTAGATATCGGTCTCAGTTGTAGTGGCTGTGGTGGAGTGAGTAGTGGTGGTAGTGGTGGTTTCGACAAAACATTCTTTGAAAGGTTTCTTTGGCACCTACAACTCGGAAGTGAGCCGACTGGTATATTTCTATTAGAAACAGGAAGTTGAAACTCTAAAAATCCAGAGACACTTCGTTGAACCCCACACAACCAAAGCACCTCGGAGTCAGGCCCACTCATATCCAGGCGCAGCTTCTAAAACCATAGCCAGCGGTGTCACCAGGGCAAAGCCGCTTTCCAGATTTTTACCAATCAGTAAGCCTCCGGCTTTATACTCCCCATTCTCTTTAACGAAAACGCAGCCTCCAGAATCCCCTGTGTCAGCAAAGAGCATTTTTTTTCTTTCCGTCGACATGACTGCAATTTCATGTGCTTCGACAGACGAATGCCAATATTGTACGAAATAACCATTCACCTGTCCTCGGCGGCTCCCGGTCGTCCCCCATGAACGGGCTCCGCATCCCACATAGTGTCAAATCCATTAGAGAAAACAATGCAGTCCTCGCGAGCCAAGACTGGCAAGTTATAAGGTGTTGGTGGAAAAACGTAGTCAGTCATGGCTGGCAGCGGGATTCCAAAGATCAAGGTAGGAACGGTTTGTCCCTCTTCTTCGATCGCGACCAATATACCATATGCATTCTCGTGTTTCCACTCCTGCAAAACAGAGCTGATATAAGTGGAAACCACCAAGGGATTGTACTGAGCGCATTTTGGAAGATAAGTAATTCTGGGGCCAACGAGGAAGTTCTCAATCTCAATCTCTAGCTTCTGTATTGCTTGACAGTAGTAACTGAATTCCTTTGTGGATAAATATCAAGCGTCGAAAGGGGTTGGGCAAAGGGAGAAGAAACAAAGGAGATCAGCAGGATGTAGGTGGGGCAACAATATTTATTCAGCATCGTTGCAATAAGCAGCACTTTATTAACGGTCACATGGGTATGTTTTCTGTTGGTGCGTGGTTTTTTGTGACTACTTCCCTTCTTGTGGCCATGTGGCAACAGGAATTCGGAACCTGGACACATTTACAAAGCATCCGTGGGGTGGGTGATATCATAGAATCCCTTAAGACCAAATTGCTTCCACCACTACCAGCCGAGGATTCGGACCAAAATAAATTTGGAATTAGCTTGCCCTCGAAGGACAAAATAGAAGTGAAGAAATTGTGTTCAGCCTAGCTGATACACGTAAATTTGGGAAAACGTCACATACAGAGCGCCTGGGAGTAACTCCAGTACCTGATCTGAATGTTACCGATACTGGCGGCATGCGCCTGCATGATAGGGTGTCCCTTGGCAGTTCGGGAAGACACTTGAGGGGTCTGAATCCAGGCGGCATCCATCTGCAGTGTGAGCTCTCCCCGGTTGAGGACCCTCCCCCTCCTGCTTTAAATATAGAACCTGCTACCTCAGTTAGTCCTGATGTGACTCCAAGCTCCCGTCCGCTCAATCGATGCTTGAGAAGGCAACAAAATGGGCCAGAGCCAGTCCGGCAAAGTGAGCGAATTCAGAGAAGGCTAAAGGATATACGTAATTATGAAGTTCTAAGAAGGGTTCAACAAATGCATATTGAAGACCGCCTTAGCCGAGAAGCAGCGAATAATGTATTTATTGCTACATATGCACCGCTTTTGGAAGGACAGCGACTACCAGACCCGAATACCTTCGCTGAAGCATGGGAGAGCCCACTTCAGCCCTTCTGGAAACAAGCTATGGTGGATGAGATTAAGGCCTTACAACTGAATAATACTTGGAATCTTGTTAATGGGAGTATACCTTTTGACTCACATGCTATAGGGTCAAAGTGGGTGTTCAAGACTAAGGAGAATCCAGATAGTACGATAAGATACAAAGCTCAGCTAGTTATTAAAGGATATGAACATCAGTATGGTATTGACTATACTGAAACCTATGCTCCAGTTGGTCGATTGGATGCTCTGCGGATTCTGCTTGCTCTCGCAGCCGAGGGAGACTTAGCTCTCCATCATCTTGATATTGTGACAGCATTCCTGAATCCTGTACTTGATTAGGATAACGTCTACATGCTTCTCCCTTCTGGTGTTCAGCATGCTGACTCTACTCTTCATGAGTCGCAAATTGTTCACCTTCGCAAGGCCCTGTATAGGCTAAAGCAGGCCCCTCGATTGTGGAATAAGGATGTCGATTGCTTTTTTCTCTCACTTGGCTTTGTCAAATCGCCCTCCGAGCCAAGTCTATATAACCTACGGAAATCCATTTACCTACTCCTGTATGTTGACGATATGTTACTAGCTTACAGTAGCGAGCAACCTTTCCGAGATATTATACAACAAATTAAAACGAAATACTGAAGTACAGACCTTGGCCCAGTCAGGAGATTCTTGGGACTTGAGATCACACAACTTGCTTCAGGCAGCTATCGCTTAAGTCAGGAAGGATATATTCATGGTATCCTTTCTCGTTTTAGGCTTACGAATGCCAATGCTGTCCCTACCCCTCTGGCAAAGGATATTACTCTAGACTCGTCCGCAACTGAGAATGACAAGATAGTTGACCAAAGGAACTACCTTAACATTATTGGTTCCCTAATGTATGTGGCCTTGGGTACTCGTCCGGATATTGCTTTCGCGGTTACCAAGCTTAGTCAATACAACCATGAGCCACATACCATCCATCTTACTGCGGCTAAGAGAGTCTTATGCTACTTGAAGTCTACAAGCACCTACAGTCTTCAGTTTTCTAAGAATGAAAGTTTTGAATTCCAAGGACCACATAAGCTTATCGGATATACAGACGCCGATTGGGCAGGAAATCCACAGGACCAGAAATCAATCAGTGGATCTGTTTTCTTTCTCAGAGCACCTGTGTCTTGGAAGTCTAAAAGACAGACTATCATCGCGACTTCAACAACCGAAGCTGAATTTAGTGCTTATCTCAATGCCTCAAAGCAGGCTTTATGGCTATGGCAATTCATTGAGGATATTTGCTACCCAAGCTCTCTTTGTCCTAAGATCCCATCCAAGCATGAAAATCCGCATAAAAACCAGTCCGACTCTTATTTGGCTTACACCCATGGCTGCATAACTATCTACAGTGATAGTGAGTGGGCTATTGCGACTGTCAAAGGCGAAGGGATTACTACACGAAATAAACACTTTGATATCTGCCTCCTAAAGTCTCGTGAGCTTCAGTAGCATGGGATTGTTGATGATGGTTTTACAAAGAGCTTGACTATGGCTAGGCATGGGGAGTTTGTCAAGCAGCTAGGATTTGAATAAGAGGTGGATATTTTCTTTTATTGTGGGAGCGCACAGGGCTGAGGGTAGACCTTTCCCTTCTGAGACAATTTGTAGGAAGGGTTTTACTGGTGCCCGATGATGCCTGGGAGGATATGTCTTGGAGGACTTTGTTCAGGATGGAAGGTGTTACGGTGAATGTGCGTAGGGTACGTACTGAGTGCTGCGTATGCATTTCCGTAGTTCAGACGATTTCCAGTGTTTTTTCCAGAGTTTGCTTCATGTTGTTCTACACCTTCTTTTCTTTTCTAACTACTCTTCTTCGGACAATAAAATTCATCACTTTCTAAGATACAATTCGCAACAGATTTACTTCCCGGTAATCCAAGCGCCATCCCTTTGGTTGACCGGCTAACATCAGATCTGGGTACGAGGAGGAGGGCGTTCATTAGTCTACTCTGCGAGAGGTTCTGTTTTTTGTCTTTTTTTTACCCCGATGATACTCCCGCGAATGAGAAGATATGATGCTCACGACCCCCCCGCCGGCGCGGGGGTGAGATACACGTACTATATACTGCACACGCCACTAACAGCCCTCGACGGTGCTCCCTATACTCCTGCTCGTGTTCGGAGAAATCATCCAAGTTAGAGAGGGGATACGCATGATATCATACCACTGCGAGGAGAAATATGTAATTACCGGAAAGGGATTATTCGCGATATCACTGGTGTATATGGACCGCTGAGGATTTCTCATCCACTCTCCCACTTTTTCTTCGACAGGTAGACAAACAGACAGGCAGACGTTACCCATTCCCGCGAATGAGCGGTTAAAACACCGTCCGGAAAACCCCCCCCAGAGAAATAAGTAAACATTGTCCCCCTCACCAATCCCCTTTCCTCCCACCTTCACCGAGCCCGGGTGGGGGAATCTTCACGGGCAACGGTAAATCACTATCATATACCGCCCAAATGCCTACGATACCTATCATACCTACCTACCTACATAACCACATAATAACTGCGAGTGATCCCTCATGATAAACATATTTACGGATGATACTTTTAGCGATATCCCAGTCCGCCATACTGAGCGAAACTACCTTCAAAAATCGCCGACACCCCCCCCCCCCAACTCTACACCAAAAATGGGCATTTTTATCATTATCATACTTTGCAAAATCTCAGCTTTGTCGCTCTCTAAAAAAAAATTTAAAATTTAAAATCTGTCACCGCCATCAATACACCACCTCCACAAGTGACAAGCCCCGTTTGCAAGCCCCGTTTGCCGCGGTGCAATATGAGAAATAACAAAAGATACTTCTAATTTTATAATGTGTTCCCCACGCAAAAGGTACGATACATTGCAACAGCAGCTCTCAGCTCTCAAGGCGGAGTGGAAAAATTGAAATAATTTTTGCGCAGAGATTCTGGGTATCACAATTCCCTACACAATGGAATTAATCTCCGTTGCTTTTGGATGAATTGAGTGTGCTTAAAATCAGCCATTTTTGGTGTGAAATGGGGGAGGTGTCGGCGAATTTTGAAGATAATTAGCCTCGTACAGTACAGACTTTCATTCAAAAAAAACTACTGGATGCGCGGATGGGAGTCCTACCCTGACCAACCCTCCAAACTCCCGCGGCGCAGCGAGTATATATCACGGTACGAGTGAGCAAGAAATCTATGGTGTGTGTGTGATTGATACTCGTACAGCTAATAATCGGTTGGGGCGAACGAAACATATGCGTTCACGCTGGTGTGTGTGTGGTGGGGGTATTTGACGAGTGATTATGGGTGACTACTGCTATTTATCATACACTCTTCTGGAATTGCTCCGTCCGGTGCTCGCTGGCTGGCTATAGTGCTCTGCAGGAGTGACATTCACCGCGCCGACACGGGGTTTCAATTTCTTTCTTGATCTAGGATATGCCTAGGCTACATGCCCTATGATGCTAGCCCGCTGCCAGCATTGTAGTCTATATGGTTTTTTTTTTCAGCCTATCATACTAAATGCAGTAGCGGGTATCTAGTTTACACCACCGTTGGGCCCAAAATTTAGCTTTTCTCTTCCCCTGGTGAGCGGGGATGGCGCTGACGTTATGGTAAGATGGTAAGCCCACGCACGGCTAGGGGTACCACCACAGCGCACCCGGGGCGAAATAACCTCTCCTACCTTTCACGATCACGACATAAATAAATATTTCTCCTTCAAGTTATCATTTAATCAGACTCAGCTATCGCTGCTAAACAGCGTCCAACGTCTTAGAACACCGGCATTATAATCTGTCCTCACCTCAAAAAAAAAAAAAAAAAAAAAAAAAAGACACCCGGCAATTCGGGAACTTCAAATTCAAGTCCAAAGAGCTAACTACCCAATCCAGCCCATCCTATGCCAGGTGTCATGGTGAATCGCTCGCCTCAGTCACCCATTAGTTCATGATCCATCCCTCATCCCTCCAACACTCATCACAGCTTCGAACTAATAGATCCCGTAGACCTTTGGATGATCCACGAAGCGACATAATTCGCAAACGTAACTTTATCCTCGCCCGGTTCGCTGTGCAGTTTATGGTACCACCCGTCAAAGCTCTTGAACTCCTTGTCCTTAACCTGGCCGAGGCTAGAGACGAAATTCTTTGAAGAGTTGTAGTTGGTAATCTTGATAATCAATCCCCTCATCAGTCCACTTCAACATTCACGCAACCAATGGCACAACGATAATTTTGAAAAATACCTTGTCGGAAGACCCATGCAGCACCAAAACCGGCTTGTCAGCTAAAAACTTGGAAGCGATATGCCCCTTCTTCAAATCCTGTCCACGGGTAATCATATCCGCAATCGCGACTAACGTCCCGGTATCGTGACACAGCGGATCCGTCTTAAACGCCTCCACGACCTCAGGATCCCTAGACATATACTCGGCCGACAGACTCTGCACAATCTGCTTATTCGGGAACAGCGTCGCACCGATTTTCGAGGCACCGATTTTAATGAATCCCGGGGAGCTCTCCTTCGCGAAATCGATCATGGGACTCCACACGATTGTTCCGGCGAGGGCATTCTTGTGCGTGCCCTGGATGGCGTAGGTCAAGGCTATTCCCCCACCCATCGAATGGCCGACCAGATAGCAAGGAATGCCCGGGCGCGCGGCCAGACGGGGCCCGAGGAGCTCGCTTATGTCGGAGAGGACGAGAGATGTGGGACCGGAATTGCCCGAGTGGCGGGTGGTTTTTTCTTTTTTGTTGGAACGAACGCAGGTTTGGCCCCAGCCGCGTTGGTCAAAGGAGTAGAATTCTATGCCTTGTGCGGCGACGGTGGTCGCGAAGATGCCGTAGGTGTTACCTGTTCATCATTAATTTCTCTCTGACCATTTGATCTCTCCCAAAGGATATATGTAGGTGGTACAGTGATCCGAGAAGCCATGAACGAAGAATATCTGAGCGATTGGAGGTGAATCCGTCTGTCATTGTTTTTCCATTCATCAGTTGCTGAGGTACTACCGATTTTACCCATACCCATACCCCTCGCGATGCACTTACCAACCAAGTCTTAGTATAAATCTCCAACCCATCCTTCAAAGTCTCCCATTTCTCGGTAGTTCCGGCCATGATCCTCTATTTCTCGTTGGGTTTGTTAAGTGGAAGAGGGTGTTGTATTGGAGCTGAAGACATCAATGGAAATGTGGGTGGCACTGTACGAGTACTGTACCCATATTTATACCCAAGTACTCGTACACCTTAACATACCACTCCACGCACCTCCCGCCTATACCAGCATACCATCCGCCGCGGCCAGCGGGCTGGTGTTCACATTTCACGCACCCCTTACCTTACCGGCAGTCGGTACTTTATCCCCTTCCTTGCCCCTTCCCCCGAGGGAAAGTTATCACATGTATTAGGGCTAGGGTTCCAATCCAGGTGAACACAGTATCATACAAATGTAGCCTTAGTCTAATACGCACAACAGTGGATTCGGCCAGACGTCCAGTTAAGACTCGCGAGGCACAGCAGAACAGGTATCATACGTACCGCACACAACAAAACCACTATCATAATTCCGCTAGATCGGCTGACGGAAGCTTTTTTTGTTGGAAAAATAAAAAAATAAAAAAATGTGAAGAGGTAACTTAACTCGATGGTATTTGCGATATGATACTGTCTACCGGTACGAGTATTGTTTTGCAGCTAAGCCGCTGCCGGGAATACGTCCTGAATGTTTCTCCTCTTTAATTTGAGATCCTTTTAATACTCGAGGAAAGGGGTAAAAGGAATTCTGAATCTAAATTCTGAATGTAAATTTGAGACTGAAGTGGTGTGCTGGTCCAGGTGCTGCTCGAGGTATCATATGATATCATGTGATGCTAGGTTTTGCACTAGAGTCAAAGTTAACCCAGTTTAAAGGGTGATTCACTGTGTGTCACTCGTGGAATTTTCCTATAGACCCTCGGAATCTAATGAGCGGGGATCTCTGGACTCTGATCTGCTCTGCGATGGAAAGCGGTATCGCGGTCTGGCTCGTAATAATGCTAACCATTTCTCTCTATAAGGGTAATATATGTGCATTAAATTTTAAACCCAGTTTTAACCCCGAGCGGGAACACCACCTCTACAAACCACTCTGCTACCAAATCCCCATATAACCCCTCATCTTCATCAACCAGATCTCCAACTGCAATGTCCCCTCCCTCCTCAAAAGCCCGACCCTCGTGACCCCCTCATCCAGCTCCCACAGGTCCCTGATCTTCCCCGCAACCTCCTCCCCAAGCATAACATGCATATGATGCACAGGACACAATCGCCCATTAATCCTAACCAAAATATCCTGCCTCTGAACCCTCCCCGTAACTTCATCCACCTTGCCAGTATCCGCAACAACCCCCGGGGCCCCCTCGTCCAGCTCCCAATCAAGCACACACCCAATCTCATCAATCCCATCCATCTCCTCAATCACCTCCCCCCTCACAAAGCACTTATCCCCACCCCTCTGTGCGACATCAAAGACCTCATCGAAAACCCTCTTCCTCATCAAATCCCTAACGCTTTCTGCGAGGTCCTCCGGAAAAACCGACTTATCCTCCGTCCCAACCAGCTTCTTTGCGTTCTTCTTCTTCAGCGAGCGCATCATATTGATGTTCCCCATCACCCACTTCCCCTTGCGCACCCGTCCGCGCTGGTCGTCCGTCTGGCGCAGGCCATCCGGGACGATCCATGTCTCGCGCGTCTCTGGGTGCACCAGCTGTTTGAAGCGGATTAGGAATGCGCGCGGGACCCGGCGGTGGAAGTCGAATTCCTGTCGGACGGGCTGGGCGAGCATATGTGCGTAGGGGTTCTTTGTCAGGCGGAGTTCGGGGTCTGGGAGTGGGGCGTTCTTGAGCGGCCGACCGGCTTTTGGGTGTGCTTTTGAATACTTGACATATTTTGTTGGGTCTTCAATGGGGGAGAGGGGGAGGTCGTCGCGGGGGGTGTAGGTTTTCTTGCCATTGCTAGGGGTAGAGGTCTCGGAGGAGGAGGAGGAAGTGGCTCGAATGATAAAGTACGGTAGTGATCCAAATGATGATCTTTTAAGCCAGGGATACCGAGACGGGGTCAACATCCCCTCTCACGAAGCGATTCTCTTCCAATAAGGCTATCAGCGGTTAAAGAGAGTCCCGACCCTCCCTCCGGGGTTTTCTCAATTGCAGTTGGTTGATTGGCGTCAGTTTAGACTTTTTTTTAAACCTTTTTTTGCGCCAAGAAATATTTTTCCCCTTCCCCCAGCACTCCCCCCTGCTGTCCCGCACACTACGTCACAAATCCCAGGAAAGAATCCTCCTCACCACTGCCAACCAACTTTCATAACAAACATCAAACAAATTCCACAATCCTCCACATCCCCCCACCCTTTTGAGTGAAAGTAGGGAGGGCTTAGTATTATTCAATGTCTAAAACCCTTTTACGACTGTTACGACGGAGGAGCTTAACAGCTTCGCACTATCATCACCGCCGGCCACCATTACTCCCAAAACTCGAACAAAATGCGCAGAAAGGGTTCCTCCGACACAACTCCACCACCACTCCCATCTTCCCCTCCTCCAAAGATACAAAACCAGAGAAAACCACCTCCACCACCCTCCGCCACATAATGCGCAAAATCCCCCATCCGGGTATCCTCCCCCCTCTGCCCTTTCAACCCCTTCTAACCCACACCCACAGTAGTAATAATAACAGCCACCTCCCCCTTGACCCCACACTCCCCACGCGGCATAACTCTCAGCTCTTTCAACTGCTTCTCCCTCACACCACCGCTCATCTCCTTCAACACCGCCACGCCCTCAATGGCCGCAAGTGCCATGTCCATCTCCGGCGTCTTCACAGTGCACGTCCTCCGCTCCACCACGCGGGCAGCACACATCGCATCGCTATTCTCGAAGGCGAAGCTTCCCACGTCGCCCTGGGAGAGCGTGCGCGATTCCCAATTGCGTGAGCAGGGATTGCTAGGGAAGGACGAGGACGTCTTGTACAGGCTTAGGTGCGAGACGTATAGGAGTGTGCAGATTGAAGATCATCGCTTTTGGGTTGGGAGGGTTGTGGGGGTGGATTTCCTTGTTGGGGAAAAGGAGGCAGGGTTTGGGTTGATGTATGCTGAGGGGATGTTTAGAGATGTTGGGAGGGAGGTGGGGAGTGATGAGGGGGGGGATGTTGATGACGGGTCTGGGTGATTGCTATGGGGAGGCTGGGGGAATTGACGTCGGGGTGTTTTTGGGCGTTTTTGGGTTGTGTAATACGCGTTGTATGTGGGTTTGAGGGAGGGGGTCGGGTTTGGAAACCTTCTTTCGGTTTAACAGCGTTGGGAACTTGGAATACAGTTGATAGAAATATTGCTAAGTACATTAGAAAGAGGTACGCATTAGAGCAAGAAAGTTAGTTCATAAACTCATACATCACCCATCATGTCAAAGTGACCATCACTATCACCGCCAAGGCAGGGACCAGTCATGTAGGGGCCAGAGGGGTGGAAAGGGAATAAAAGATGGAAAAATCCGGGTATGGACACCACTAAAACCCCATTCACAACCAGCCAAAGGGAAAAAAGAAAGAAAAAAAAGAAGACATCGAACAAGGGCAAAACTGGATGAATCCCTATCGGAGAGCCGGACATCGGTTAAAGGTATGATATCCCAAAGTGAAACCCATCTTCCACAGCTGAATTGTGTGCAAGTACGGTGTGCACGCCAATAACGGTATGATAGTACGGCGCTCAAGTTCACCGGAGGTAAACGAATGGTAATAATAGTAAAACAATAAAAAAACCCTAGCCTGGGCAGTCCCGGTCATTTTTATCAATTTCATCCAACACCTGAGAAAAAAAAAACCAAAACCCAATTAAGTAAAAACTGTCAAGCCCACCTTCCAGGACCATTCCACACTACGAGGTTTCGATAGTAACACTGCTAGTGATACTCCGCTCCCGAACTTCACTGCCATCTGGCTTCTTCTCTCCTTTGTCAATAGCGGTCGTCTCGGTAGTTGTCTTTGTGGTAAGGTTCAAGGGTTCCATGTGCCCCGCGCCCCCATTGCTTTCGTTCAATAGAGGAGAGTTCTGCCACTTTGCAACATCCTTCTTCAGTTGCTCAAGTTCGTTCTGGAATCGTTTGCCAAATACATCGACTTTGGTATAATATCAGTCGCAACCCTCAAAGGAAGCCGGGCTTGGATACTTACTGTAGAAGGTAGCACCATTATAGATACTCCAGAGGCCAACAGCTGTTAGGAAGAGGGCAGAAAAGCTGCTGTGATAAAACCAAAAAGGGCATGGCAACATAGTTAGAACAGCGTAAGAGTACTGAATTAACATGAATGCAGGTTCTTGCATAGTTTCCGGTAGACGGAGGACGAGTTTGCCAATCCAGGTCTTTGAATAGGTTTTGCGAAGCCAGGTGAATGAGGTTGGGCGCCCAGCTGCTATTTTTTCACGTCTCCTCACCTAAAACAACCATTAGCATACAGTGAACGCAGCGCAAACTCGAGTGCACTAACCGTGATGAATAGATGATAAGACAATTGCCACACTCCATAAGGAACAGTTGCCCAAATCACCATCTCGATCAGGCCATACTTCTCCACTCCCTTGACCCTACTAATGGAGGGGAAGCGCGAGTCGACAAGGTCTTGATCCAACAAGTGTACCAGGCAATGCAGGACAACCGGGGGCATAATGTGAATGAACAAGGACGTAACTTTATCAAGCGAGTGGAAGACCAGAGAATTCCTCCACATAGCAATCGCCCAAGCATTGTTTCCGTATGCAAGGCAGTATGTTGAGATCATTAGACGCCGAGAGTTTGGGAAAACCCAAATGTTGAGCAAAAGAAGAAGATTAACAAAGTAGCACAGATCGGCCAAAAAGTATTGGTAGCCACGCTTGTGATAGGTGAAATAGCGGATTGGCATAAAGTATAGAAGCTGAACGGAATACCAAACATGCACCCATTCGCTATGACATTGACGCATTAGAGTTCGCTACATATAAAATACCGACGGAAGAAACTCACGGATATCCACCGATCAAGAATCCCGTAATGAAGATGTTGCAAACACCAACCACAAAGGAGATCTTCTCTCTTGTCGAAACAACCCTAGTATCATCCCATTTATCAAGAACCTTCTCGAGCCCCTGACTGTATCGTTTGCGGTACTTTTCAAACTCGACATCCGTTTTCTTAATGACTCTCTCTTTCTGCTTTACATACTCCAACTTGACCTTATCACGATGCTTCTTTAGGCTCTCACTCTGAAATTGTATCTTCCTGTTGATCTGCTCATTGATTCTCTCGAGTTTCTGTGGGAGGGCAAACTGGTCGAGGAAGTCGAAGACGGTAAGTTTGTCCAGTGGAGGGAAAACCTCACCCCAATCCTCGTTCGAGCCAACAAAGGACGTAGACCGTGAGAGAGCGGGAGAGCTGGTGGGAGTGACTTCTTTTGAAGAAGAGGGCGAAAGCGCGTTATCGAACTCGAGCGGATTGTCCACCGATGGGTGGACAGATGAAGGTAGAGGCGCGGAGGCCATGATTTGGAGTTTGTTAGCTCAAGTTTGCGAGATTTCTCCGATGCGCAAGAACAGGGCTACGGTACATAGGCTAAGCACCTCTGCTGTCGGTCGCGAGATCTTCAGTGTGTGACTAGTGAGAGAGTTCAGTGCCGTAAAACGTTATTAAAAGGAGGTCTATGCCGGGTATTCCAAAGAAAATGCGGAGAGATAAGGTATGATAGGTGTTTATATGGATAGGTGTCTGGAGTGCAGAGGTCGAGAGAAACAAGCACAGGCACTCGTACCCTAAGACGCAGAGAAGTCTCGGTAAATTAGAACCTAGAAGAGTTACTGTATGGCCAACTCGCCACATATTCGCGCCTGTGGCAAGTGCCTTTTTCTGGTGTGGCTTTCTATCGCCCCCCTGCAGTTATTAGTCACCAGACCCTACCAGGCATTGGAAACTTTTTCTCTCTTTCCAGCAGCAGCCAGAACGTCCCTCTATAGCACACCCTTTAGTACGAAAGCTCGCCATCACCAATTGCAATGGCTCTCGTACATAAACAAGAAAATGAGGATTTCTCGATCAAGCCGGAGGCTAAGACTCCGACCATCGACTCGTCTCAATGGCCGTGAGTCTTTCTCGTCTCCACATTTTCACATTTTTTTCGCGGTTGGCGGATTTCTGACCTTATATTCTATTGAAGGCTTCTTCTGAAGAACTATGAGAAACTCCATGTCCGTACCGGACATTACACACCAATACCTAACGGGTGTACCCCTCTGAAGCGTGAGCTGAAGAGTTATATTAGCAGTGGTGTTATCAACCTCGATAAGCCGAGTAACCCAAGTTCGCACGAAGTTGTCGCTTGGGTCAAAAGAATTCTCAGGTAGATTTCACCGCAATCTCCTCATCCGGGGGATTCGGCACTTACTCTGAATAGATGCGAAAAGACCGGACATAGCGGCACCCTTGATCCTAAGGTCACTGGATGTCTCATTGTCTGTATCGACCGTGCAACGCGTTTGGTCAAGTCCCAACAAGGCGCCGGTATATTGTGCCCTACTGCCCCTGTCTCGTTGGAGAACCCTTCTGGATTATTGGGCTTACCTACCACCACTACTATAGGAAAGGAATACGTTTGCGTTCTACGCTTGCACGACAAAATCGAGGGTCGTGCTCAACTTGCCCGAGCGCTTGAAACCTTGACTGGCGCACTTTTCCAACGCCCTCCATTGATTTCTGCTGTCAAGCGTCAGCTCCGTATCCGTACCGTCCACGAATCCAAACTGTTAGAGTTTGATAACGATAGGCACCTCGCCGTTTTCTGGGTGAGTTGTGAAGCGGGAACATACATCCGAACATTATGCGTTCACTTGGGCCTGTTGTTGGGTGTTGGTGCTCATATGCAGGAGCTGCGAAGAGTTAGATCTGGAGCATTAAGTGAAAATGATAATATTGTCACTCTCCACGATGTCCTTGATGGTATGGTCCCTTACCCCTATGCGATAATCTGATTCTAACTACTTCACAGCTCAGTGGCTTGCCGACAACTCTCGTGATGAGACCTATCTTCGCCGAGTTATCCGCCCCTTAGAATCTCTCTTAACTACCTACAAGCGCATTGTTGTGAAGGACAGTGCAGTGAACGCTGTTTGCTACGGCGCTAAACTCATGATCCCTGGACTGCTTCGTTATGAGGCCGGAATTGAAGTCAATGAAGAGGTCGTCTTGATGACTACTAAGGGCGAGGCTATTGCGCTCGGTATCGCTCAAATGTCTACTGTCGAGCTCTCCACTTGTGATCATGGTGTTGTCGCAAAGGTTAAGCGTTGCATCATGGAGCGCGATCTCTATCCCCGCAGGTGGGGGTTGGGTCCAACAGCGGTCGAAAAGAAAAAGATGAAGTCTGAAGGCAAACTCGATGTTCGTAACATAACCCCACAGATATCTTGTTTTTCCTGTGCCTTCTAGCTAACGATTACCATAGAAGTATGGACGTTCGAACGAGGCTACCCCCGGTGAATGGACGAAGAAGTACACCGATTATAACGCCCCAGCCGGCGGCACGGAGCAATCTGGTTCCACAAAAATTACCGAAGATGTCGCAACTGCTCCTCCCGTACCTCCGTTCGGCGCTCCCGATGTTGAGATGACTACTCCAGCTAAACCAGAGTCTGTGGGTGAGAAGAAGCGTAAGTCAGATGAGACCGAAGATGAGAGGGCTGAGCGCAAGAGGAAGAGGAAGGAGGAGAAGAAAGATAAGAGGGAGAAGAAAGATAAGGAATAGTAATATTAATCCTAATCTCTTCACTCTTCCCCTTTGCGGAGGCAAAATGTGTAAACTAGTGTCTTTTCGGTTCTACTTGTTTATTCCCTTCCCGACTGTACGTGTCACATCATGGCCATCATCACCATCATCACAGCCCCACAAATGGCATGTATCCCGAGAGCACATTGTTTAGTTGGGCCTTATCCGTTTACCGCAGGATGCGCAGTTCCTGCAGTTCTTAACACACCTCTCAGACCCCAAATCCGACTTCATAGCCCTCCAAATTCATCTGAACGATCCACATATACATCAAATTGTGTAGTATAACAAGGATGCTGCCACATCTTCCGGCAGACCGAATTGTCCGGCACTTGTGCTCTCTAGGTTCGATCCCAGTGCGACCCATCTCTTTGTCGTAGGATAGGAAATCCGAGCAGCCGTGGCGGTTGCGCTATAATATTACGACCAATGCTTCCTCTTGCAGCACTTTCACATTTCGGGGAGCTCACTCGGCTTTAGGTAATTATTTCAAAATCTCCCATTCTAGGCTGGCTAACTAGTACGGTGTCATCCATTCCGGGATTTACCAGCACCGGGAGTCAAAATTTACGGTTTCCCCCTCACATTATCTTAGCCCGTAGTTTAGGTCCTAGTGGTAGACAATTTAACCAAAGGTTAAGCTAGGAGCAAAAACATAGGGCTGTTTCCGCAGTTTTTACCGGGTGACATCTTATGAAGAGAACGGACATGATACCATTCCCACGTGACAAAGGGGGGGCTTCCGCCAAGCCGGTGAGGGCATCTCTTACCACCAACGCGGCGTCCCGCCAATTGCTTCTTAGAGCATCAATCTAAAAGCATCCGAAAACCCTTCCTCAATTAACTCACCCCCCTTCGCCGCCGAAGAGAAGGTTTCTCCGTTAAACCAAAGTTAATCTACCAAGCCTGGATCTCCTCGTGAGCGTCTCGTTCAACGATGAGTACCGGTGCGTCCCCGACCTTGGCCAATCTGGACTTAGAGGCAGATGGAGCTTCCCCGTGGGGTGATGAGAGGTCTATAAACACAAGCACACCTCCCATTAGCCTCCCTCGTGACGACTCCGCCGATGCATTCAGAGATTCTAGATCAGGTATGTCTGGGGAAAAAAAATGCTTTCCCGGTCCCTATTCAGGCTAATGCTAACGGAATAGAAACCAAAGAGTCTAAACTGAACAAAGATGTGGGAGAGCCATCCCCTTTACCATCAACCAGGACCTCAGTCGCTCGTCGTAACCCTCGCCGCCCCGGTCGTCATGTCGCCCGCATAGAAGCCATCGACGATGACCTCGGGCCGCTAGGCCCCCTTGGAGACAATTTCAACGATAATATAGACACCGCCCCGGCCGCGAAATCCCGCCATGATTCTCCGCCCGAACCTCCACAGAAGGAAGATTCTCCCCGTATGGCTAGAGCTATACCTGGAGCTCAAAACCGGATGTCCCTGACCGGAGATTCAATGGATACTGTTCCTTTGGATGATTCTGGAGTCGAGGTGCATGAAGGTGGATATAGGAGACCACCAGCTACAGACTTTGCTCAGATTGTGGGGAGGGAAGCTCTTGGGGAGTCTCTCCCTCCTCCTAAACCAGCTGGCGATCAACCGGCGAGCCCATCCTTTGAAATACATGTTGGCGACCCTCATAAGGTCGGAGATTTGACGAGTGCTCACACTGTTTATCAAGTTCGGACAAAGGTTAGTCGGATGACTAATTCCTGCTCCACGAGCTCTGATAACTAACATCATGGGCTCCGCAGACTACATCCAAGGCTTACAGAAACAGCGAATTTACGGTTAGCCGTCGATATCGTGATTTCTTATGGCTCTACCAGGCGCTGATCAATAACAACCCGGGGGTGGTTGTCCCGCCGCCTCCAGAGAAGCAGGCAGTTGGCCGATTCGACGATAACTTTGTCGAATCGAGAAGAGCTGCGCTAGAACGGATGTTGAATAAAACTGCAGCCCATCCAATGCTGCAACACGACGCAGATCTCAAGCTGTTCTTGGAGTCAGAAGCATTGTCAGGTGACATCAAGCACAAAGAAAAGCAGGTACAGCCCGTGGGGGAGAACAAGGGAATGTTTGGTTCTCTCGGCGGTGCATTTGGTGGGGGTGGCAAATTCATTGAAAATGATGAGGTTTGTTATAACCATTGCTTTTCTCTATAAGGAGCTTTCTAACTAGTGGTGCAGTGGTTCCTCGACCGCAAACACTACTTGGACACTTTGGAAAGCCAACTCAAAGCTCTGCTCAAATCTGTTGACACGGTGATCAAACAACGCAAAGACCTAGCTGATGCCGCGAACGACTTTAGCTCCTCCCTACAAGCTCTCTCAACAGTAGAACTAAACAAATCCCTCTCCAACCCCCTTGAATCTCTCTCGTACCTACAAATCCGCATCAAAGAGCTTCACGAACGTCAAGCACAGCAAGACGTCCTAACCTTAGGCATAACTGTGGAAGAATATATCCGGATCATAGGCTCTATCAAGCTCGCCTTCAATCAGCGACAGAAGGCATTCCATACTTACCACGCCGCAGACGGGGAACTAGCCAAGCGAAGAGTAACATATGAGAAGCTGCAAAGACAAGGCAAGACACAACAGGATAGGTTAACCCAGATGAGCGCAGAGGTTAGCGATAGCGAGAAGAAGTTACACGCTGCTAGGGTTGCGTTCGACAACATGGGGAGAACCCTGAGGGCGGAATTGGACAGGTTTGAGAGGGAGAAGGTGGAGGATTTTAAAAGTGCTGTTGAAACATTCTTGGAGAGTTCTGTGGAGGCGCAGAAGGAGGTATCAATCCCTCCCAGCCCACCCTCCTCCCCCGTAACTAAATTAACGGGTGCGATATAGCTCATCGAGTTGTGGGAAACCTACCTAATGCAACTGGACCGTGAGGAGGAGGAAGAGTCAGGATATAGGCCTGCGGAAACTGCATAATTATCCAGGATCGACTAGTTGCGGAAGGTGGAGAGGGTTGAGGCCGGAAAATGGGGGGGAGAGAGAGGAGGGCCCTTATGAGATACCAAGGGCGTGATTCCCTGGCGGCCGCGAAAAAAATGCTTCATTCCCATTTGCTTGTACTAGTAAATATAAGGTCTCTGTAAGTCGTGGGAATATATCACTTCTGCTGCTGCTGCTGCCGAACACCCCTCTCAAGGTTTTGTTAGGACGATTTGGTCTAGTTTGGTAAATTATATCCTTAGCAAAGGCTCGCTATGCCTATCCACTCGTCTATCTGCAGCGCACAAAAAAGTTCTTAGCGAGGTAATGTTATAATACAAGCAGAATAGAATACCAGCGTAGTGAATTAGTGAAAGAGGGTTTGCTACTGAGAGCGCTATGAAACAAAGTGGACAATTCCAAGGGTCACAGCTCATCGTGCGTTTCCGGGAGGCCTTCTTCCCAGGCTCCTCCCCCCTCCCCTGGATCATATTCCATGCTTCCAGACTTTGTGTTCCCACGCACAGGCTCGGCCTTTTCCATCTCCACTTCCTCCTCCCCTATACCATATTCCCTACTTCTAGACTTTGTGTTCCTGCCTACAGGCTCGGCCTTTTCCATCTCCACTCTCTCTACCTCGACCTCTGGCTCTCCGTCGATGATGCGCTCCACCTGTTCCCTCATTGACTTCTCCCCCTCCCCCTCTCCAGATAGGGACGTGGCGCTCCTTTCGGGAGACTTTGTTCCCAACATACTCTCCGGAATCCCCACGTCCTGCACCGTCGTAGCCCCACCCATCCCCATTCCCGCGTCCTCCATAATATCCCTCCTCCCGCCAACACCCAAGGCCCCAGTAACAAGAGACAATCCCCACCACGTGATCTGAAACGGCACCACAAGGACTAGGTATATAGGGCCCCACAGTAGTCGTCTGACGATCAACCACATCAGCAATCCGAGGAGTATCTCTATCGCCCTCTTATAGTACCACCTATCGCTCTTGTTCTTCCGAACGAGGTCGGAAATGAGGGCACGCGAGGAGGATATTACGTCGTCGAAGGCAGAGTAGCGGTGGGTCAGGTCCTGTAGCGCGGCAGTGGAAGTGTTGAGCGTTTCCGCGGCGAATTGCGAGCGGGAAAGCTCGGATTGTAGGAGTGTGTGCGTGCGACGGAGAGCGGTCGTGACGTCGGTCGAGGCGTGGAGGAGGAGGTCATTTTGGCTATGTTCTACCTTTTAGCACCGTTCATGGGGGAAGATAAAGGAGGGAGTGAGTGAGTGATACGATAATTTCTGGTTCCCCTTACGCTTCCCGGCAATACCGTCAGGCGTAGTACTCCTCCCCGACCCACTCAGCAAAGCTTCCCGTTCCCGTTGCTCGGCGGCAAGTGCGTTACGCTTCGTGGAGAGTTGGGCTTTGCGGTATTGCAATCGTGCACTACCATCTCCCTCCATACATTAGCCCCCCACACACACTCCCATAAGTATCCTATCGGAGGATGGGGGGGTGAGAGAAAAAAACAAACATCTTCAGATCCTCCCCCGCCTTCACAACCTTACCCTTCAACGCTGCCTGCGCCCCATCACCAACTTCATCCTCGACCTGAGCGCTCAGCAACTCGAGCTCGGACTCGGCGTCGCGCAAGCTCTGGTGTATCACGTTTGCGAGCTCAGTTCTGGTGCTGTCGCCCCCGGGGGTGTCGAGCTTCGAGAGGCGGGATATTAGGCTCATGCACTGTTTTTGTTTTTTTTCATTTTTTAGCTCATTATTAGATAGATAGCTAGAGTTGACATGTTGCAGGGATCATTGAAGGGGTGGGTAAGTAAATACTTCTTTATGAGTGTCAGTAAGGGAAGCCAGCCTTTGGGAGGTCTCTAGAACGGTCATTATTGTTGGTGGGGGGTTTTTTTTCTCTTCTTCCTCGTACAGGTCGTGGTAGTAATCGTGAAGTTGTGAAAGCTTAATTCAGTTTTTTCCTTTCTCTTTTCTCCGGGAGAGGTGCCGTTGGGATAGAGTTTGTTGGAAAGGTTTGGGATGCCAGTGCTTGCGTGTGACTATGATAACTTGGTACGCTAGCTTCGAGTGGTGATGTGACAGAGCGTTGACAAGGTTTTTTTTAGTCCAGGGGTTGTATTTGAGGCTTGATATGTGGCGGGTTGGGGGATTTAGTTATTTATTGCCTTGCGGACCTGCAGACTTCTGGTGAGCTGTTTTCGTTATATCATAATAATATTATCATACCCGATTCGATATGTTTGGCTTTATGGAAATTGTTGCGGTTTGTTGGCCTGGATTAATATTTTGGTGGGTTCATGGGTTATGACTCGGTTCTTGGGTTTCGAGCGCTGTTGGTATTGAGAGGTAACATATTACGGTGTAGTATGATATTGTGGGAGACCACTTGTGTAAGTAAGGGAGGAGCTTTTCTTCCCAGGATAGAGTACTCGTACAAACCACCGGGCTTCAATACATGATGGAGACCCACTCTCGCCTTTTTCATGTCGAGACCACGTCCTATGGCCGTAATCGATAGCTTTGCCACCCACGAGTCCCACAAGATCATATTATATTAGTAACATGATGGCTTACTACAAAACGATGGCTTCTTATACTGATACCAGCACTTTCCATGCGATCCTTGTACTCATGTCGCTGGATTTGACCTCCGGGGGGGGGGTTTGGGAAGGGGTAACTTACCCAGCACATCAAGACAAATGCAACGCCTGTCCAGCGATTTGAGAGCAAATCACAATCGGATTGTAATCACACACCATAGTGACAAAGAGAATGAGCGTTTTAGATTAGATCTTGGAGATGGGGACCAATGGAAAGGTTTGATTGGGGATGTGACGAATTATAGTTTTGGGTCACCCAGCAGATCCATACTCATGTCATACATTGTTTGAGCTTTCCCTCCCGCCTTCTAAGAAACACGGAATACCAACCGCAGAGGGCATCGCTTCCTAGGACCACGACAGGCATATATTTCAATCGCAAGGAATTCGAACCACGTCTTCTTACTTGGGCCAAAGTTTCCTGGGGCTTCCATCTACTCCTCGTGTGCGGTAGCTGTCCTTCAGCAGCGGTTACTTGAAGGCTTTGGTACCGTGGCCCATAAGCTCGGCCTCTATCATTCGCTTGGGAGCGTGCACTAGGCTGGGTAAGAAAGTTTTAATATCATCGTCTCCCTTATCAGCGTTAAAGAACGAGAGCTGACGAGAGCTGACTATTGAACACAAGAAGTTCTGAAATAGGCTATGTGAACACGAGTGTTCGAACGACTACCGTATTGAACCATCAGATATTGCACAACAGTTATGATATCAGCTGATGAATGCACGAGCCTAGGCTGCGGAACGGTTTTCGTCAATCACCGGAATTAAGAGGTGAACCCTGACCCTCTAGTTACTTCTAGGCTCTCACAAGTCAGCAGAGTCAGATATCTACGCGCGGTATGTGAGCAAGTTTACCAATACAAGGACGAGGACACTCACAAGCACTAATCAACGATGTAGGTGGCGTTTCCCACATTACAAGATCCACTTGCGACACTGATCCCAATAACTTTCACGGGTGATACTTCATGATTCACCAGAAGGCTGCATTTGATGCGCTGTGCTAAGCAAATAGCTCCCCCCATACGCCTGCTGAGCTCATATTGAGCGATAAATCTCAGATCAGGAGTGACACCGCCATGGGTCTCTATCTGCCGCTCCTCTACAAGCAATAATGCGGTTCCAGCACATATTCTCACGAGCAGAGTGGCAGGACATGATATGACTTTGCCTTAAGGATCATGTGCCTGTGGCCAGACCTTCTAACAAACATGCTCTGACTTTGTGTCTCCGCGGGCTCGATTTGTTCAATACCATATCCAACTTCAGGTATATTGGGGAGAGTTCGACTTCGGGGCATGCAGTGCACTGAAAAAACCTTTAGTTGCCGTAAGCATGGAGCAGCCCGGAGGCCAAACGAACCTTTCATTTCTTCAAGGAGCGGAATATCCATCGCAATGTCCGATCAATCATATGCACCGAAGCGCAGACATCTAGTGTATGTCTTTTGATGGCCATCTAGTGTTCCCGCCACTGCAAATCCTCCGCATTCCTTGTAGCCGGGCCCCAGGTTCCCGTTTAGGCTGGTTCCTTCCTTCCTTCTAGAAGGGTTGCTGGAGGCGACAATAGCCGGGTATGTAGATTATCCATTGCGAGTATACGTTGGATCCTTGACCACGAGTGAGGTGGTGTGATGATGTGTTTCTGGAAAGGAAGCAAGACTAAAAATGCCTCGCTGTGTTTGAATGGAGCTTCAATGATTCAGGGCAAGTCTCCCCTCGGCTCTGCAACGGTTGTCCCCCCGATACTCTGGACTACTCTACATGATTATAGCTTACAGGACCTAGCTCTGGGATTCACAATAGCTGGTTCCCCAAGAATCCCGTCCTCACCAAAATCCTTTAGAAGGGAGGGGGGGCTTATTGCGTTGGGCGGTGAGGTGAGCAAGATCCCCTAGTTTAGCGTTGTGGGGTGTTTATTATAGACGACAAGATCTAATATATCGCATTTGCGCCGTGCACACGCTTGTTTCAGCGGAGGCCAAGCGAAACGAGGAATAGTAAAACGAAGTATTGTACCGCCGGGTGTCACACCGGTAATCAACGAACCGGCGATATTATGCCAGTGAGATAGTTACCGGTACTTTTCTAATTCCCCGTTGCTGGAGTTTCTGTTTCTGGTTTGGTCTACTAGTTAAAGTAACGGGTTCAAGTTCGCAGAACAGCTTGCCGCTGTAAAGTTTTTTTCCCAAGGAGCGTGAACTGTTTGTGGAAGGTAGAGCCTAACCGCCTGGTTTTATCTCGAAAGTTTAGCGAAGGGGGGAGAGAATGTCGAATTTGGGGACGTTGCTCCCGCTTGCTTGTTTTCTCCCTCCGTCTCTCCGTGGGGTGCAGCGCATGCACGGCATGCAACACCGTGGCATCTATCCATTCATCAAACCATCAACTCGAGCACTAGCCTACCGCATCCTCATCCCCCGAATCGCAAAGGTCAGGCGTGAACCCACCACCATAGGGTAATTACGAAGAAAAGGGATCAGAGGGGGAGGGGGGGGGGGCGCAAAAATAACAAAAAATATGAAACTTTGCAAAAGCCGTCATCTCCATCCCTCTGGTTGTTCCGATTCTCTACACTATTTCAAGATTCGGGCCTCAGTTGCAAATTTAAGGGAGACCCAGATAGATAGGAGTAGAGAGACAGACACACTTGTTTTATTTTTGCAAAATGGGAGCCTCCCTCCCCCTTAGCTCCGGGGCGAGTAGGGCACAGGTGATATGGTAGATGCCATGTCCTTTTTCTTCGATTGAAAGTATTTCCTCCGATCCTGGACTAGGATCTTTATACGGGACTGTGGCCTACAGTCCGGGGGAAGGAAGGGAAAGTGAATGGAGGTACGATAGCGTTTGGATGGATAAGATAAGAACTGATAACCGGCAGAGAGGGTGTTGTGTTTTGTATGATAATTTACAGCACGGTTTTGTAAGCGGTGAAGGCCGCCAAGCTTTGGATAATGGTCAGGGATTGGGAAGGTTGCAGGGGCATTGTACGATCTTGGCACCAACCCGGTATGATTTGTGCCATCCAAAACCAACTCGAAAAACGATTAGACTATACCTCCACCAGGTTAAGAGACATTAACTTGATTCAAGGAAAACCTGTCGATCGTTGGAAATACTAAGGAGAATAATGTAGAGGCTTTCTTTTATTTTATATATAAATATAATAATTATTATAAAAAATGAAAAGAAAAAAAATTGTGTGATTGGAGGTCTTAATAGTGAGATAAATCAATTGAAAAGTCCCAGCCGAGTGTAGGTTTATGATGGCCCGAACCATACATATCTTGTATGATACCAAGGATTTGCAACATAACGACTTACTCTAAAAAAAACACTACAGAATTAACAAAAGTACTATTAACATTACCATAGGCTTTTCCAATTACTTGGGGACTCTTTCAGTAAAAATTGTGCGGATTTTTATCAAACCCGATGTAAGTATTACGCTGTAAAGTATCATACCTTTTTACTCACGGGAAAAAACCAATACCGCCAATTCTCCTCTCAAGAAACAGCAACGCCAATTTCGGCTCATTCCCCCCAACCCGGACAAAACCGAGCAATTGCCGAATAGAACCATATGCCAACCGACCGGTCGCGACAAGAACGGGTTTCTAACGTGAGACGGGTGATTACGGGGAGGTAAAGGGCCGTTTAAAAAAAAAAAAAAAAAAAAACACAATCACGAGGTGTGTGCTATACAACGACCAATCCAATCCAATCCAATCCAATCCAATGGGGCTGATATGGGGGGAAAATATTATCATATTATAATTTATATCGCCGCATTGATTAGGTGGGGAAGGGGGGTATGCGGGATGACGTCAGTATGTGATTTTTTATATATTTCATGTATCATTGCTCGAAGAGATGGGATGCTACAAGTAGACTAAATTTATTGTGGGGATTTTTGTGAGTGACCGCTTGTGTAGTAGTCTGGTGGGTTTACTCCCACAGTATGGTACGCATGGTACTGTACCCGTGATGTTATTCACGTGTGATCTGTTTGGCGGTTCTGGTGAGACCTGGTTGATATGGTAGGGGATAATCGACCAACGATACCTGTCCAACGACTCGTGGGGGTGGGGGGGAACCAGAAAATTACCCGGTGAAGCTTCTTTCTTTCCCATTGTTCGATTACAGATGAGAAGAGCTACTGTATTGAGAAACCCCCTCTTCAGAGCTCAACCTACGAGTACGGTTACTGTACGTTGCTCACCTTAAGCGCCACATACCTGAACTTTCTACGATATCATATGCCACACCACCAAATCCGAAACCCAGTTTCGCCACCGGAACTCCCTGGCGCAAGCTAGAGCACCGGTATATACTGTACATACCCTTTGCTGGTTGACGTCGAGACGAGCGAATAAGTATACAGTACCACATCCGACATGAGCGGTTTTTACACACACAAAAACCATTTATTCCTTCGTAATGTTCAATTTCTTTACCCGGTGGCGATCCGCCTTGACTTACTCACCTTACCGTACGAGTACCCATCATATCATACAATGAATAATGAAGGAGAAAACAAAGGCAACGATATGACATACTTGTAACGAGTATACCACTCCAGCGCCCTAGGCGGCGGTGAAGTGGCGGTTGGGAACCGGGACCCTGCATGAATAATTTGGACTTGACGCCGTCAACTGTCATGACGCTATTACAACTTTTTTTTTTGTACTCGAGTAGTACAGTACCCTGTATAATAATAACCTATTTAGCCTTCGTTAGGAAGGAATCGAAATTTGCCCTCTCGAAACAGCACATGATCGACGCCGATCCTTTTCGCTTTCGAAGTCGGAACCGGGCGACGAGAAAAGAAACATGAAACCGGACAACAACAATCAACAGCAAAGTTCGGAAATATACACGAGTACTCGTACAGTAAGGTCGGTCGGTACCTGCAGCGCTTTTGTCGCAACCGGTGATGTCGACGGATCGTTGGATGTTTTTTTAGACTGGACTAGACTACCGTCCAACGGTTTCGAGATGGGTTGGTTGTTCTTGGCGGGGCAGGTGAATATATTGGTAAAGGTACAGTACAGTACAGTTATGGCCGCCGGCGTGATTACAACAAGAAAAGACGTACCGGTATGTTAGGTAAACTGCACAAGCTTTGTTGCAGTGAGGCGCTCTCGCTCATCGGAGAGAGAGCGTGGAGGAGTACAGTACAGTACCGGTACCGATATCTAGCAGGTACGGGTACGGTACTCTACGTAAGATCTGGAAATGACCGTATTTCCCCCTCTTTCTTTCCCTCTTTCCTTCTTTACCCCCCCCCCCTTTGGTTGGCAGGGAATCCTGACCATGCATGATACGACCAGGGATACCAGTAAGTCAACACCATCCCAGCAACTCCACAAGAATGAAAAGAGAAAGAAAAAAAGTCCAGTTACGTACTATAATGGCTGGATAGAACTAGCGAAATCACGACATGTCGAGCGTGCCGCGTCGAAAAGGACATTGGTCAAGGATTACGGTAGTTAGGTTAGGGGCGTAATTTGAGATTTCAAATGCGGGGACGGTATAGTACCGTACAAAGTACAGTTACTCGAGTATAATAATATATCACACTCCAGTTACCGGTACGGTACTCTACTTGTAACCTGTCACCGCGGGGCCAAGCAGCAACCCCGCGATAGCGACTTCAACGCGTGGGGGGGGGGGAGAGGTATTGGTGTCGTCGCCACGGTATGCACGATGTACAGTACTAGTATGATAATATTATTATAGTGCTTGTCGAACCTGGCGGAATAAACATAATACAAAGTTTCTTTTTCTTTCCTCTCTCATTCGCCTTTCTTGTTTCCAAGAGATGCGTTGTGGAGACCTCTGTGTTCGTTGGCACAGTATCATACTATGATAGTATATATCATAGTTCTTTTAACCATTCACCGGTTCGGTTCAGTCGGTATGGCACGCTGAAAATTCTCAAATGCACAGTTAACTCTATTCCCAAATGAAATTCCCCTTTCAGTAGTAGCACTTGTTTCGGGAACCTGTGATACAAGCCTCCTCTTCCAAATCACCATAGCGCAAGCACATAGTCTACAGTATCGTAGCCTATCCCAAGTACAGGTACCATACGTAGAAAAAAGAAAAAAAAACTCTTCCCCACCCTCAAAAAAGAAATGAAAGAAAGAATGAAAGAATGACACCCGGATACCCACCTCCGAACAGATGGGACTACATACTCGAGTACAGTGCATACAGAAACGAGTGATTTATTTTTATTTGTATGATATAATTTTTTTTTCTTTTTTCTTCTTCTTCTTCTTCTTCAATAGATGAGCCCGACGTCATAATACCCGTACAGTACGACACCACCATATCCGTAGGGGGGGAATCACTGCCACGATATATCATATTGAACGGATGGAAACGTGGCCGGCGTGAGCGCTGCATTGTACGAGTACGAGGGACGTAAATCTAAAGTGTGATGTTTGATAATTAGAGTAATAGTACGGCGACGGCGGGTAGAGGCATAGAGCAGAAGCAGCAGGGGTAGAAGCGGACGTGAATGGAATTGAAATGCGTAGGGACAGGTGTGAGGGGGTTTAGAATGAATGGGGAATTGGCACGAGTGAGCTTGGAAAACACCTGATAACTGCAACTTCTTCATCATACATGGACCATTGCTTTTGGGAGATATTCAGGTTATTTTTATTTATTTTTTCCACCAATCCCTTCATTCGTGATATAAGCAACGGTAATTGCACCTTTGCTCCACTTCACTTTTTAGTGTATTGTGGGGTTTTTGACTCCTCCCTTGTTCACTCTCAAGTGCCGTGGGTGAGCGAGTAAAAGGCGAGAGAGTTAAAGAAACCCAGTTTGCTTTTTTCCTGGACACTTGTACGAGTACTCGTACTTGTACCTCCCTTTCCCCATTCTCACCGACCAAGTGTGTACTGTACTACGCTAAGCATTTGACTCGAGTGGAGTCAAGTCGGGTTAGTCATGCATCCTCTCTCTCTGCATAATATGATAACACTTTTTTTTTTCCCTTTCTTTTTTCCCTCTCACGCCCGGCCGTTTCGCAATCCGTTGATCACAATATCATACCCCTCCAACCTTCCTTCTTTCTCTCGCACATCCTCGCGACAGCACGGTACTCGAGTACGGTAGAGCGCTCGGCCACCGTCCGCCCCGTACAGTACAAGTATATATATACAGGGTCCACACTGAAATGGGTGGGAAAAGGACTGTGAAAAAGGGGATAATTGACATGGCCGAGCATTTCGCATCCGATAGCTGGAAATGACGGAAGCGGAGGATGAGCTATAAACTACCGTATTGTAAACTTGAGGAATTGGCGGTGCTCGTGGGTGGGCGGGATGAAAAGGACCGGGGTCCTAGCAAGGAACTCGGGAATGGTAATGGCAATGGCATGCACCACACCAAAGCAGCAGGTGAAGAGAAGAGAGAAACAGAGGGGAAGGAAAGAATGAAAGGGACACTCATCATCATCCCCGAAACCTCCTTCTCTTAAAAGTGCAAGTATGGGAATCCATCCTTGCGTAAGACCGTAAGACCGGTCGAGGATACACACCCATTGTACTCGTGCTTGTAGATATCACAGCCATTCCGCAGTACCGGCATGAACCGGTACCATGCCTCCAGCAATCAGCACCATATTACCGCAAAAAAATTACAGTGCAACCTCCCCTTCCCAGCGGACAGACCGCAAGCGAAACCCAAACCCTTCCATCGTTCGCCCTCTTTCTCGTCTCGTCCACTCCGACAAACCCCGGCCAACCAACCAACCAAGCCCCAATCACCCTAGCAACCAATATATGCAACTCTGGTTCCCTATGTACCATACGGGTAACAGAGCACCAGCCTTCTTGACAAGTGATGCGAGAAAGCGGATCTGCAGGGTCCTTCCTTTTTTTCCCAGCCGACATGCTCGGTAGATATGTGCCCTTTACCTTTGCCCATACTCGAGTACACCCACCCACTCACCCCCACGGTTTTTTTTTTTCTCTCGCAAAAATATCATTCACAACCTTGGATCGTGGCTTGCTTGCTCTGCTCTGCTTGCAGTTGCGGGAAGACGGACAGGGAAATTTGTTCAAGGGTGGTGGGTAGGTCGAGGATGGAAGGAGGTTCCGGAACTTCAGGGCTGGAAGTTTGATGAAATGTGAAGAGAAGAGGGAGGGGGGGGTAAATCTTTCTTTCTTTTTTTTTCTGGCGATAGCAAGTATGGCATTGCGCGAGCTGCTGAGGCCCTAGGGATAAGCCCTGCGCTTGCATAACGGCTGTACTCGTAGAGAGTATCAGAGATACTGGTGATATCCAGAGCCTTGACTTAATCCTTCCTTCCTGTTGGGGATGCGGTCGCTGGTGGGGGCATGCCCGAGATAGGAATCGCGAACACGACAATGACAATTAATCCTCAGAGTTTTCACCATCACCATCACTGTATGGCTCCAGAAGTGAACTCTAGGAGTTCCTCTGTCGTGTGTTTTCCTCTCGTTTCTTTCTTGCCTTCTTGCTGTCTTGTCGAGCACAGTACAGCACACTAACGGGTCGGCAAATGGTCTAGACACGGTAACAGCTTTCTAAACTATCTATCTATCTCTTACAGTAGCCTTTGCTCCTCACTCCCTTCGTTCGCCTTACTTTTCCTTCATTTTTCCTCCTCCTCGTCGCGAACAACACCATCATCGTCATCACCATCACCTACTCTGCACCGCATGCAAACAATTCTCGCCAGCGCGGAAGGAAGGAAACAATTTTTCACCTCCAGCTCACGCAAAAGCAAGCACCATATATTACAAAAGCAAACAACTCCTCACGATGCCGTCCTGTGTGATCCTCTGGTTTGCCCAGCGCTGAATGAAATAATTCCCAAAAGAAAAAAACAATAACCGAATATGTGGGGTAAACGTATTCGATGCTGGTGCTGGGGATTTGACTGCTATACCAACCGATAGGTTACCGCAGAGCTAGATCGATTGCGAATGTTGGGGGTGATGAATATCGTACCGCATGGTAGGCAGGCTACCGGTAGGTATGTATGTAAAACATGCGAACAACTAGCAAACGTGGGCAAAATTTCAAGATTGAGGAAGGATAGTTATGATACTGCCTTACCGTGATACGATGCCATACGATGTAGGCGCTGTAGGGCACTGTACGATACAGGTACGATTAGAGAGATTCGTGGAAAGAAATGTTCCGCCCAACTATCCAGCAGTCAGATGGTCAAGTTAGCTGTCGTAGAAGTGTTTGCACGAGCACAGTACAGTACTCGTAGAGAATATCCCCACAACACCGAAACCAAAACACCCGGACCCGGACTCGACCTACCTACCTGCCCTCTCTCTCTCCAGCGGATGTGTGGGGGGATACGCTAGGAAGCCCCCCCGAATCGCTCAACACCTGCCCCGCATTTCCACAACCCACACACAAACGTGGTATTTCCACAATACAGACCCTTACCGTAAAGGTTACGCCCCTCCAATTAACCATTTCGTTCACGACTGCCCTGCCTTGTCCCACTATCGCTCCCCATGATAAGCTAATATGCGGTATCATTTTTTTCTCTCCCCTTTGCCATGTTACCGTCGGTCGCTGGGTGCTTGTTCGCGAGCGGAGTGAGCGAGCCAGTCAGGGTTTGTCCGCGGGGATGGAATGGGTATTGGGTGGCGTAAAAGACTCTCTCTCTCTCTCTCTCTCTCTCTCTCTTTTTATTTTATTTTTTTATTTCTTTCCGCTCGCGCGAAGCGGCGTCAAGGACTGAGATGGGGTCCATGTGGAGCTCTTGATGTTCTCGGAGGATTGACGAGTTACTAAAGGACTTCCCACTGTTGCTGGATGAACTCTTATTTTTATTTTATTTTTTTGCTGGATCACCGTTATTCTCGCCGTATTCACCATATTCTACTTTCGGCTGGCGCGGGCTTTTTTTACACTGTCGGTCGGTCGGATGGTTATTGTAGTATTTTTACTCAACTTGAGACCGCTAACCACGAGTATCATACATTATCAACACCTCGCTTGAGAGATTGGTGGAACCGACAAGCCAAATTTACCGGTGCTACCACCAGTACCGGCGGATCATTGACCTTTCGTTCCATGCTTTCTTTTTACCATCCAGGACAGAGCACTTTTGGATATGTCAACAAAAATTCGGATGCGAGCATGCAATGCGAGTGACAGACTGACGGTCAACCGCACTGAGCTGTTCCAGTATGCAACTCCGCGACAAAGCTAGCCTTTTCTCCCTTCCTTTCAGGAAGGTATTCAAGGAGGTAGCGGTATCTTTTGTCGCTTCCCTTTTCTTCTTCCGCAAGGGTAGCCTTCGCGCGAGATAAGGGTGGGATGAACTGTGCGGTGCGAGTACGATATCGCAGAGAGAAAGAAGAAGAAGAGTGGGAAAAAGGGAGTTTGATAACATTCGGCACATGAAATTCATGTTGCGGCACTGCCTCGTACAGTACAGTACTGTACAGTACTTTATCGAAATCTCAAGTGTGGCAATCGGACTGGATTGATTAACCCATTTACTCGAGTACCGGTACCAACCTATGACCAACCTGCGGTGTCTAGCTTGACTTACAACAGCGGTACCCTGTGTCATATCATACCCTACTGATACAATCCATACCGGTACTTGTACCGGTACTCGAGTACCGTACCTATTCCTTGCATGCTCGTGTCGCGCACTCATGTCTCGGTCTTATCTTGTCTTGTCTTTGCTCGCAAATCGACTTCCATTTGGCGGTAAGACTACCGCTGTTCAGATCTACTCGTACGAATCAGATGAAGTCTAACGCCCACACGTTTCCCCCCCCTTCCTCACTTCCTCTTCTCTAACTTATTCCTGTTTTGCTCTGTTCTGCTATGTACTCAGGTACCGGTACCGGTGCTAGCATATGGTGCATCCACCTCTTACCCGAAGGCCAGAGAGGAGTAAGGACTAAAAAAGCAAAGCAAAGCGGAGTTGGATGGTGCCTCTGCTTGTCCGCCTCTGGTATCTTCCTGCCGTTGAAGTCGCTCATTTGGGGATGATGACTGGTGGGAAAGAGGGGCGCTGTGATAATGTTACTTTTTTCGTGATTTTTTTAGGTGCGAATGTCAAATCAAATCAAGCGTGATGGTGGTGTTTCCCTTGGGGAGGAAGGGTTTGGTTTATTTAGGGTGGGGTCACACACCTCATGACCCCAAACGCCAAATGAACTGAAATACCGGTATCATACTCGAGAAGGCGAGAGTGTCGGCGGTTGCTCCCAGGACTTCGCCCGGCCTTATGACGATGGTGACAGCAGAGTTTCAGCTTTGGTATTATGGCGGCATGAAGAAAGGCTGGAGCTCGAAAAGGATGGAAGAGGCCCTCTCGGTCTTTTTCCTTTTGGTCATTTTCTCCTCTTCCTTTTCTTTTCCGGGTGGAATAGCAATCACATTTTGGGGGTGTGCTGTGGGTGTGGCAGATGAACCAAAAAGAAAGAGAGAATAAAAAAAAAAAAAGCGAGCTGGACTGGACAACCAAACAGGTTGATGTCCGCCCTTTTGGAGATTTTCCCTTTCGAACTGGAATTTGCGGTGGTGTGGGAGTTCTCTGGGTGTGTGTATGGTAAGAGTGGGCCTTTTGTCGACAGATTTTACAAAATCTCCGGATGTGAAGGGTGTGGTACCGAAATAGGCAATTTAGAGAGCCCGAGCGCCCATGCCAGAACCCGACAACCGGTGCGAGACATTTCTCTCGCATTCACTAGAGAAAGAGCCAGGGCAGGGCAGGACACCAACTAGTCGCGCACCAACTCTCCACTCCAGGAAGCGAAGGAAAAATAATAACGATAATAATAATAATAATTGTTAGCCGGTAGTCCGCCAACCCATCGCCACTGTTATTCTTTCCAAGTATGGTACTGACCACTCCAGTTGCTTCACTTCTCACCGGACTTGCTAGTTGTTGTATAGTTGCTCCAATTGCTGCCTTGAGTGCCGTTCGCCATCGTCTTTAGTGTGTGACTTTTTTTTTTTTTTTTTTTCGTAACTTTTTCCTTCCTGTGATATTTTTCCTAGTCTTGTAGGACCGCTTTGCGCAGAATCTGTTTTTTCTCTCCGCCTTTCCCTTCATAGTATCATACCGGCATCATATCACAGTCCAGCACGCTGCCACGATTCCTTTTGCTCGTTACCGCTGTGTTGTTTGCTTGTGCAGGCAACGAGGGCACATATTTCAGATTTTAAGGGCTGTTTTGCTTTTGGCTGACCGCTCCTGCCTGCCCTCCCCCTCTCCCTACCATAGAATACTGTACCGGCTGGCTTTGGCTGCTGGCCGTCGCCTGGGTGTGCTTGGAATCTGTTCCTCTTGCTTTTGCTTGCTTGGTCCCGCTGCTGCTGCTGTCTATTCGAGTACCACATCCATACCGTACCGGTACGCTGCCTGGCTTTGTCCTTTCTCTACGTCTTGCTTGACTCCTGGGCTTTCCCTCGATCCAACTGCACCGCACACTGCCCTCATTGACTCCCCCACATCAT